CGCTTCTTCACTGCAAAGTGTCTAGCCCTCTCCCCTACGAAATCCTCTGCGACCCTGTTCACAACCTGGACGAAGGAGGTCAGGCTACCGCTGGGGATTCACGTCGATGACACACCAATTCCGACGGTGAATAACCCCAAAATACTCGGAGTAACTTTCGACAGCCTGCTCTCCTTCTCTGCGCACTCAACCGCTATTGTCAATAAAGTACAGAGCCGCAACAAGGTCCTCAAGTCGCTAGCCGGCAGTACTTGGGGCAAAGACAAAGAAACGTTGCTGGCAACATACAAGGCAATAGGCCGGCCGGTTTTGAACTACGCAGCGCCAGTGTGGTCGCCTGGGACTAGTAGGACGCAGTGGACGAAGCTACAGACCGCACAAAACACCGCACTGAGGACAGCGACGGGATGCCTCCTGATGACGCCTGAACACCACCTGCACGGCGAGGCGCAAATGCTCCCGGTAAAGGAGCACAATATAATGCTCTGCAAGCAGTTCCTGATCGGGACCCACAGAAGTGGCCACCCGTGCAGACAGCTGCTTGCAGAGGAGCCCTCGCCTAGGCACGTCAGGAGGCATCTATATGAACTAACGGACGAAGTCCAGAGGTTCATTAAACAACTTCTGGACCCGACAGCCTACAGACAGGCCTTGAACGGCATTCACAGGGACTCAGTCTCGAGTTATGTAGACTCTAGACCTGTGAATGCCGTTCTAGGCACACCACCCCCGGACATTGACGAGACGGAGCTTCATCTGCCTCGGGAGACGCGCACCACACTTGCACAACTTCGCTCCGGCTACTGCAGCAGGTTAAACTCCTACCTGAGTAGGCTGAATGAGGATGTGCCTAATGAATGTCCGGCATGCGGAGAGACCCCACATGACTCGAAACATCTCTTCGCATGCCCGGCAAACCCGACATCCCTAACGACCTTGTCCTTATGGGCAAACCCCGCAGAAGCTGCACGCTTCCTAGGGCTGCCGTTAGTGGAACTTGACGGCAACGACTGAGATACCAACCGATCTGGGCGGGGTTGTTGTAGCCGCTACAACAACAACAACAACGATAACGTCGAAGAATTTAGCGAAGTACTACACACATCAATATGTACATGCAACATTTGCTGGGAAAACAACAAGTATTTACAAGGGAGTACAGATATAAATACCCACACCTACATACATACACATACGTAAGGAGATACTTCTGTAGTAAATCGTAATTATTTAATGAGTAATGAAGATTTACAAAGATATGTTATTCAATTGCAAACAGAAATAA